ACACTGACTTGAACACCGGCTGCCCCCCGCAAGTCATGTACAAGCTACATCGCATTCGTGATCGATGGCGAAGCCTTTCTCCTTTTACCCTTGACATGATATGTGCTCATATACAGGGAGGGGGCAAAAAACAAACACTTACGCAGCCCAGACAGAAGACGGATAGGATTACCAGGGCAGACGATGTTCCTCAATAAGGAGCAGGCTATCGCCCATCACCTTCATGTACACCAAAATATGAAGCCATCTCCAATCGCAGCCGGACTGGAGAAGGCCTATGGAATTCACGTCACCTCCAAACAGCTGCGAAACTTCTTGTATGGAGTCACCCATGGACAGCTACCTGGAGACCAGCACTCTTGATCTGGAAGACCTCCAACATCGAGCAGCTCCGACAACGTCGCTACGGTCTAGGACATCATCTTCACCGCAGTCGCCAAGGCGCGGGTTGATGGTATGGACCGGAAGTTCCTGGAATGGGAAGACCGATATTTTCTTTGACCCGGACTGAAAGTGAACGCTGACGGTTACATCGAACAGCTCGAGGAGAATATCCTGCCTTCATGTCGTCGCCTGTACCATCTTGGAAACTTCGTACTGCTACAGGATTGGGTGCCAGCACATGGAATCGAAGGGCGTTGGAAAAACTCTCGCCTACTTGGAATCGAAGGGCGTTGAGTACCTGAAGAAGACGGAATATCCAAGTGTGCCACTTGACCTAAGCCCGCTCGATTACCGTGTTCTGATCTCAGCTCTACAAGGCTATGGGACTTCCAATCATGCAGTAGATTACAAAGTCGTGAAAAAGTTCCTCGCGTTCCTGACTTCGAAACTTAGCTGCGCATATCGGCTTGATAAACTTAGTTAATTGAAATGAGAACACTACTATAAATACGGTTCCGCCAATGAAAACAACGTTGTTGATTCCATTTGTGCAGATGCTAGGAGATACAACTTACACTTACAAGGGAGGTCGTTCAGGGCGTGGTGCGCTTTTCGAAAACGGTTTTTTGCATATTGTGGGGGCTCATGCAAGGACCTGAAAAGTGTGCTTCATTTTCGCTGCGCGCTTCCAGGAAAGGTAAAAAACGAGTGAAAAGAAATCTGTGGAATCTGCTTCGTTCTGGGCCTCTATGCGGCGTAGGTCACTTGCAACTTTGACCAGTTGCTGAGTGGGGGGTCCTTATAAAGGGGCCGTTTGAATCGAAGCGAAAAATTGCCGTAAGTGAGCTTCCAACTTGGGTCATGTGCTCAAGGGTGAACGGCTTCTTGCAATGGTTTCATCAACGATATAGAGCGCTAGTACAGATGAGCATCGGATGGCCTAGCGGATAGAGTGGAGGTTTCGCAATCGGACAGTGAGGGCGGGGGTTGATGGTTCGGCTCCCCTTGCATCGCGGCTTTTTGCATTTTTTAGATTTCGCTGTTCTCGCTTCCATTTGTGTCTGCGCATGAATATAACTCGGAGTATTTTCCCGACTTTATGGGCACTACCGCAGTAGGGCTGTACCTCATGAAGTCAGTGCTATTTCACATTTCGTCCTTCAACGCCATCTATTGAACAAGATTGTAGGCTGGTACGTTGTGTCCTCATAAGCAAGTTATGCGGTGGAGTCTGATTGCGAAGTTTATAAAGCTTCTGGTGTGGTGTCAGATTATAGAGCGAATTCGGGGCCAGCATCTTCTTCCAGGTGATTCGTTGATGTGCACCGTGTAGGGAAGCGTTGCAGGTGCTATTTCTGTCGCCAAGATTGCAAGAATAGGCTGTTAAAATTGGTTTGATGATGAGGGCCGACTGATCACTACGCACTAAAAAACGAGGTTCCGTGTCAAAAACAATTGTTTTGGAGCCTTGTAGGTTTGCTTATTGGGTTGTCGCGTGTCCGTAGCGTTCGAACGATAGTTCAAGATCGCTTGTTCCGCAAAAGATGTGAAAACTTCCGCTCATACTGCCGACCAAATGGTCGGCCACCTACATCCCGAAAAAGTCGAAAAAAAATTTTCGCTCAAAACTTGCTCCCAGGGGTAATCGACAGTCCCTGCATCACGATTCTACGACTTTATTTTCGGTCCAGTCCATCTGGGCACGCGGTATAGTGCGAGGTAGCTGGAGTTCTGTGCATACTTTACGATTCGATACGAAAGGTATTGTTGGCTAGCATAGAAAATAGGATTTGTTCAGTTCCATCGTGAATGTTTTTATTAGGACAATTATTTAGACAAACATGGATCCAAAAAATGAAAAATTGTAGAAAAGCAAAATTTTGTCCTCGGTGGGATCCGAACCATCGACCTATTTTTTACGTTTTTTTTATTCGTAGAAGCGCGCAGCGAAAATGAACCTCAGTTTTCTGGTCCTCGTATGTGCCCCTACAATATGCACAAGACCATTTTGAAAAAGCTCACCACGCCCTGAACGACCTCCCTTGTTAGGGGCGCTGCCAGTCAGAGAGGCTTGTTTGTGAGTAAGTTAGTGTGGCGGGTCCGAAACTGAATTGTTAGGGATAGGGAATACCTAACATCCGAAAATTCAGTTTCCGATTCCATGCTTGGTCTCGTCTAGGAGTGACGTTTTCCCTAGCGTCATCCGCCACTGAATTTATTTTTATCGAGTTAATGGTGAGTTACCCCAGGCAGTGACCCCTACAAGTGGTGAACATTTGGCTCTTTCGTCGATTTTTTTATTCTTCTAGCAAAGTTCTGACCGGAGAACTTTCTACCTATTCTGACGATCCTCTGTTTCTCAGTTTAGCGTTAGGTAAGATCGCAGTTTTGATTCGATTTTGAACTTGAAGTGTTGTTAAAGCGCACCTCTGCGTACACAAACAGATAAATAAATAAATGAATAAATAAGATACAGAGGCAATGAAATCAGTGAACGCCTCAACAGCATCATGTGGCTGTTAAAGCATTACTTTCTAAGCTGTGGAGATATGTACTAGTAATAGATGGGATTGTAGATGTGGGAAAATCTTGTTGTCTAGCTCGTTCAATTTTTTTCTTGGTAAGTTGCGAGACGTGTGGCGTGGAACAGAATGAACTCTTTTATCTTACCACTGTCAGGCTCATGAGCATTCAGGAGCATCCATCAAATTCGTGGCAATTTTTTTAACTAGTCTCGTCCTGAGGCCGTGAAGAATCCGACCAGCCGTAGGTCACCAGACCCGCCACCACAACCATTCTTTCGTGCTGCTTCGGCTTGGGGGTAATTCTAAGAAACCTAATTCTTGTTTAGCCACCGAACAGATCGTCGCCGCCTGTTGATCATAATCCATTTTTCATGGCACGTTGCAATAGGATCTAGAAACAGAAAAGTCGTTTTATCGATTAAAACAGAAGCGAGAACTTGTTTCTGCAGCTCAGGAACACTGCGGCGGCGAAGTTCTCGAATAACGATCTTTCTGTTCATGGCTCAGTTCATGCGGCACCCATTAATCGAGCCCTCTGACGTTACGATCTCTTGCATGTGAATAAAATCGTCTCGCGTGAAACATTCCATTTTAATGTAACACCCTTTGACCTTGTACCCGAATTCTCTTTGAGCAACATTGTAAAATGTTTGTCGTCAGCATCCGATGGACGTACACCATGCTCATCACGTTTAAGGAAGCATGTCCGTACGCAATTTATTAAACCAACACTACGCAATACGGTCACTCGTCGCTCCGAGACCGAACGCTTCTTTGATTTCCCCAACCGTTTCCGCAGCCCTTCCTAGTGTGAAGTATAGATAGAAGAAATAGCTATAGAAAAACTGTGTGAACCTATCGTTTTTCCATGCTAGCTTCGAACACGAAAACTAGAAAAATCACTCCGAAACACAATCGATCAAGTTTCTAGATAGAGCAAGAAATGCGCTTCAAGACAGTTTAGAATGTGATAGCAGTTTTACAAAAACCGACTTTAGAATGTGATAGCAGTTTTACAAAAACCGTCATAGAAAACAGCGTTCGAAATTGGAGCACAACAGACCGCAAAACCTATATTCACGACCTAAAAAAGACTGACATGGGGAAACTATTTCGAGTCCGTAGAATATTGGATTGGCCCACGAAAAGTAGCGCTTTTTTCTCGAACTCGAATTTTTATCCTTTAATACAGTGTACCTAATTCCCTTGAAGACTCGAATTCCATCGATTTTTTCTAAGTAGAAAGTGGAGTGTCAAATCGTCGAGAGTGAGCATTTTCACTCTCCTTTTTGCGCTTGATTAATTGTAAGGAGCTGAAGCTGCAGACACCCAATTGATAGTATATGGCCAGTTTCTTACGCAGTACCTATTGACCTAGGGTTCGACTGGGAGCTCGCTGAACTATCTTCTTCATTGAGATCCATGTCAAAGAATGAGGAAACGGTAAGACTCCTAGAATATTCCCACAATAGTGCAGGCAGTCGCTTCCCAAGAGGGGGTTCCCGTGATGCCAATTTATAAAGTCCAGATTCTCATCTCCTGATCGGTTTTATAGACTCCAAGCCGATCTAAGTACCGTTTTAGGTCACCTAGTTTATAAGATTCCAGCTGCCTATAAAATGTGAGAGCTTAGAATAAGTGCAAAAAAGAAGTTACGAAAATTCTCATTTATGTCAACGTTATACTCCAGTTTGATGAACTATACACTTAGAAAAGCCAAAGAAGAAAAGGTAACCAAACACACTATCTTATAAAGCGGAGAATTGCCTTTCAATCGACTCCGAACATATCTGTAAAACTTTCCACCTAACACAAATTTTATGTAAGAAAAACGTCACTACCTGCGGACCAACCCAACAGATTCAACGTGCACCGCTGCTGGAATTGTGGTACTCCAGGTTAAGTCGATTGCTTTCAGAATTGTAGAAAAATAAGGAATGGAATGGAATAAGTGCACTTCGCTCGAAGGATGAAAGAGATGTGGAAGAAAAACTAACGATCGTAAATTTCATAAACAAAGTCACCCTCGTAATTAATCGAATCGATACTCGTAACATGAAGATGCTTCACAATATCACTGTTGAATGAGTTTCACTTAAAGGACCACCTTGTTTTACGGATCATTCGCAGGGGGATATGTCCACAAACGCGTTCCATCATCGCCAGATGCTCTCTATTACTATGTGTACGAAAGAGAGTAGCTCCACGATGAAGCTCGTACAATATGCAGCCCAAAGACCACGTGTCACATGGCTGCCACCATCCAAGATCTAAACTCAAACATGAGCTCAAACTGTAAAAAATCAAAGAAGTCGGTACCTAGTCAAATTCTAGTACCGAGTATAACTTCTGGAGCTCTATAATGACGGGTTGATATAATTGCAGAATGGTGCTCATTGTTGAACGTCGCTGATCCCAAATCAATGAGCCGCACGTTTGTATTTTTCGGCCGATGAAAGGTCTGAATATTATCCATGTAGCAAAACAGTGGACAAGTGAGCAAATAGCGAGAATCCAACAAGAAAAGACTATTCAGCGATCTGGAATTATTTTGCTTACTACTAAACTTGATTAGAGCCTTCATCCGTAGAATCGACACCACACGTGCTTCAGGGATATCCATGGTTACTCAACTTCGAATTCGCTAAATTGCATGGAACTGCTCAGTCGTGTTACTGGTCTTCTTCTCTTCGACTCGTGCTTCAAGTCATCTCAAAGATGTCCGATGAGGTCAAGGTGGAGGCACTGACTCGGTCATTTTGTCATCCCTGCTGCTGACTTTTGGTGCCGAGACCTGGATCTCAAGTACTTTTGGGTCTGCTTAGGGACAATTTTATTTGAAAACAGTACTTCCAGGCATGTGTTATATGTATCCACGATATTTTGTTACACAAGTCAAGGGGACTCAAAAAATAATTTGAAAGAAAACGCCAACTTTTAAGTTTGTTCCAAGTTTTTCTCCGCAGCTGTGTATATATCGGGGTGGGTTGAGGGGAGCGTAAAAAGAGGCACTCCGCCCGAGGCACATTTAAGTAAAGAGGGCGCACCACAGAGAGAAAATGTGGATACGAGTATCAGGGTGGAACGATACCCAAGATATTCCTCGATAAGCAGAAGCAGGCTCTCGTCCATCACCCCATGTACACCAAAAGATGAAGCCACAAGATAGCTATCTAGGAACGTTCACTCTTGATTTAGAAGACCTCCAACATCGAGCAGCTCCCACAACATCGTTATGTTCCAGGATATCATCTTCTCCGCAGTCGCCAAGGCGCGGGTTGATGGTATGGACCGGAAGTTCCTGGAATGGGAAGACCGATATTTTCTTCGTGGACCCCGGACTGAAAGTGAACGCTGACTGTTACATCGAACAGCTCGAGGAGTATCCTGCCTTCATGTCGTCGCCTGTACCGTCTTGGAAACTTCGTACTGCTACAGGATTGGTGCCAGCACATGGAATCGAAGGGCGTTGGAAAAACTCTCGCCTACTCGGAATCGAAGGGCGTTGAGTACCTGAAGAAGACGGAATATCCAAGTGTGTCACCTGACCTAAACCCCCTCGATTACCTGGTTCAGGCGGAGCTCAACAGGGTGGTCTACAGTGGCAGGAAAATCAACGAGGAACAGGCACCGAATCACGCTAAACGAGCAGAATCTCCCGATGGCGTTCGTCCAGAAAGCTGTGGCGAAGATTCGTGATTGTATACAATGTGTTGTTGAATTTTGAAAATATCCTATCAGAAGTTGATAAAGAACTCATATCGCCTTGAAAATCCAAAACTGACACCTTTTCAAATCAAATCGGACACTTTTCAAATCAAATCGGACACTTTTCAAATCAAATCGGACACTTTTCAAATCAAATCGGACACTTTTCAAATCAAATCGGACACACCCCTTACAATGGGCAGTTGAGAACTAGACCACACTAGGTACTGCTGCAAGCCCCGCCCCAACACCCCCGCCCCACTTCTTAGCGCGGCCGTGGTTTTCCAAATGTTTTATGAATTCTGCTTCTTCGAATTTTTTTCACTTTTGCTACTTGACACACACATTCAACTGAATAGGTTTGCTACCGACACATATGACTCCGCCCACTTCACAATGAAGTGACGTAAGTTCTGAATTTTTATAATTTTTCGACGTTTTTTTCACATTCAATCTTCACAAAACGAATATAGCATGCATTCACACACTAGCACACTAGCCCCGCCCCTGACCACGCCCACTTTCGTTTTTCGCGGAATTTTGATTTTTCTTCCGAATTTTCACTTTTTAGGCTGTGACAAGCGGCCCCGCCCACTAATGGAAGCTCCGCCCACTTTGTAGAAGCCCCGCCCACTTTTCAAAAATGATGCAGATCGGCGAGCTAGTGACCGTACTAGCAGGTTATGGCCTCTCCCGTCACATAGAATGAAAAAAAGGGAAAGACCACAAAAAAAGGAAAACTTTGTTCCGGGTATATATATACAGGGGGGGGGCCAAAAAAAAGTCATTCCGGCCGAGTCACATATGAGCGAAGTTTTCGCAGCCCAGACAGAGGAAGTGGATATGAGTACCAGGGCGGAAGATACCCAAGATCTTCCTCTATAAGCAGGAGCCGGCTGCCGCCATTCACCTTCATGTACACCAAAGAATGAATCATGAAGTCACTCTCAGTCGCCGGACATGAGTGGAGAACGCCTTTGGGAATTCAGCGTCGGCCTCAAACAGCTGCGAACTTCTTGAAATGGATCAACCCAATGCGATAGCTATCGCGAAGGCCAGTACTCTTGATCTGCCAAGACCCGGCAAACATCGGCAGCCTCCGGGCAACGTCCGCTTACGGCCAGGGATATCATCTTCACCCCATTCACCAAAGGCGCGCTGTTGATGTGGTGTTGGACCGGTCCGTACCTGGAATGCGAAGACGATCATTCGTTCTTTGTAGACCCCGCGGACTTAGGTGGCGCTTGGCGGTAACATCAAAGTAACTCAGAGAAGGATATTGCGTCCTGACGATGTGGTCGCCCGTACCTTCTTGCGATGCCTTCGTGCGAACCCCCTACAGGTTTGGGTGCACCACATGGGAATCGAAGGGTTTGGGGAAAAACTCCGCTATCGAATGGTATACAGGGGCGCTTCGTACACCTAATTGAAGGATTGATTCACTGAACCAATATGTCCTGACGTGGAACCAACGTCAATATCCCTAGTTCGCGGAAGCCAACCAGGGTGCGTACAACCGATCTGGCGTCCCGAGAAATCAACGATACTTTCTGGACTCATAACTCGCGTACCCCTCCGACGTTCGCGCGCGCGCCCAGGGCCGAATCTCTCGCGCACCTGGCACGCTCCTCCCAGCTGAAGGCTGTGGCGGCAGGTATCATCCCTACGCTATAGTTATCTGTATTTAATGTGCTCTTTAATAGGGTCATCGTAGACAATGTCCCGATCTAAAAATTCGGACTAAAGTGTCTAAGCTCGTATAGGCCTTGGAATAGTTCTATTGGGAGGGGGCCAAAGTTGAACTTTTTTTTTAAGCGGTGTTGTTGTGGGCTCGGCCACCCCGGGTGTGGGAATATGTTTTTTTTATACTTATATTATATATATATTATTTATATTAAATATATATATTATATTATGCGCCTGGCGGGGGGAGAGAGCTCTTGGCCACCCGCCCCAGTAGACTTTGTCGTGGGCGCCGATGTGGTACCGCGATGGTGGTACCCTCTGAATTTATATATAGCGTGGTAGTCCGAATTTCTCGCGGCACCGAAACCACCCCTTGAGCTCCGCCCGAACTAGGTAATTGAGTGGGTTCAGGTCAGGGGACATATTTCAATATTACATCTTCATCAGGTACGAAACGCCCTTCCATTCGAAGTAGGCGGGAGTTTTTCCAAAACCCTTCGATTCCATGTGGTGGCACCCAAACCTGTAGCAGCACAAGGTCTCCAAGAAGGTACGGGCGACCACATGTAGGGAGGATATTCTTCTCGAGTTACTTGATGTAACCGCCAGCGCTCACCTTCAGTCGGGTCTACAAAGAAAATATCGGTCTTCCCATTCCAGGTACCCCGGTCCATACCATCAACTCGCGCCTCGGCGACTACGGTGAAGATGATGTCCTAGACCGTAGCGACGTTGACGAAGCTGCTCGATGTTGGAGGTCATCCAGATCGAGAGTACTGGTCTCCAGGTAGCTATCCATGGGTGACTCCATACTAGAAGTTTCGCAGCTGTTTGGAGGTGACATGAATTCCGAAGGTCTTCTCCAGTCAGGTTGCGACTGGAGATGACTTCATATTTTGGTGTACATGAAGGTGATGGGCGTGAGCCAGCTCCTGCTTATAGAGGAACATCTTGGGTATCCTCCGCCCTGGTACTCGTATCCACCCTATCCTATTTGCTGATATGTGACTTGGTCAATCGTATGATCACGCAAGACACAACTGCGACCCCGCCCCGACGGCCACGCCTACTTGTCAGCGCGGACATAGATTTTCAAATCTTGTTTCATAACTTCTGCTTATGTGACTTTTCTTATCTTTTGCTGTTTCCCACAAACACTTTGACTGAAAACGACTGGACATCGACACATGGCCGACTCCGCCCATTCTCTAAAGGGTTTGGCAATCTAGGCTCCGCCCCCTTGACCACGCCCACTTGCTTTTTGCGGAATTTTGATATTTTTTCAAAATTTTTGCATTTTTGGACTGCTACGTGAAGCCCAAGAGGCTCCGCCCACTTTGAAGAAGCCCCGCCCACTTTTCAAAAATGGTGCAAATCGGCAGTATAGAGTCTTGGCTTTCATGCTAGGGTCTCGTTCGTCACTCGGAACAAGAAAATCAGGCAAAGTTTGTTCCGAATGATCAGCAATACCCTAGCATGCGCCTCGAAAGTCAATGAAGAAAAGTGACTTTTTTTGCCCCCCCCCCTGTATAGCGTCCCCTAGGTCGCTCTCCGGGCGCCTCAAGCTGAAGGCCAGTCTTACAGACGGTGTCAGCCTTTGCCGAAGTACATGGCCGTACCATCGAAGGCGCGTTTCTCGCATTTTGTCAGCTATAGGAGCTATGCCGAACTTCTTGCGTATTACCTCGTTACAAATGCGGTCCAAACGCGTGACACCCGCAGTCCAACGCAACATTCTCGTCTCCATCACACTTAGACGGGCTTCGACTTCTTTGGTAGCGGGCCAGCACTCGGCGCCATATAGGGCGACTGGTCGAACGACACTTAGATCTTCGACTTTAGCCGCTCTGGCATCTTCCTGTCGCAGAGGATCCCAGACATGCATCGCCATTTTGCCCACGCTGCACTCACCCGTGCGCTCACCTCCGCTTTGAGATCTCCATCGGACGTAATTGCTGATCCCAGATACTTGAATGTTTTTGTACGCGTGAGCTCAGTGCCAT